GGGAGGGTGGACGCTCCAGAGACACCTCCCTGCCCAGACCCCTTGGCAAAGCCCACACAATACTGGCTGCTTCAGGTCGGGAAGCCCCTCTTCAGAGGGCCCATTTTATCAAAGAAAAACAAACAGCGATTTACGATGCACCTGCTTCTGGGTCCCGAGGATTCTTCACACCTGTGACCTCATGGGCGCCCCGCACCTCTGTCTGGGCAGGAAATGGCTACATTTCCTCCCACGAACATGCTGTGAATATTACGTTCTCAGACCAGCTGGGTCCACAGAATGAGACATCTACGTTCTAGGGACCCCATTCCCGGAACCTTGTCCCCCAGACCCACACTGGAGCCCAAGTGGGGTTCCCACGTCCCTCCCTTCCCCCTCTGCTTGCATCTCAGTGTCCAGGCTGCACCTTAGGAAGAGACACTCCAACTCCCACTGCTGAGGGCACTTGTGTCATGAACCACAGGCAAATGCACCCTAGGACCCAGCAGCGATGTGACCCCTGCTAGACAGGGGAGGCCGGGCGCCCCAGGCTGGGCTGCCAAGGCAGGGTACCTCCCCCCCGGGAGGGCCGGGAGAGCCACACTGTACAGGGGGGCCACCAGGTTAGGTCCTGGCTGGCGCGAGTCAGGGCAGAGCAGCATCGGTGTGAGCAGCAGCTAACTGAGCCCCACAGCTGCCCTGGGGGGGCTCAAGTCTGCCCACTTTACAGCTGAGGTAACTGAGGCAGCAGCCGAGACTTCTTTCCTGGAGAAGAAGGCGGCCAGACCTGGAAACAGCAGAGGCTCTGAGCTCGTCCTTAACCGGGCGACTTCCTAAGTCCAGAAAATCTGTCCCCTCGGGTGTGACGGCTCCAGAGCCCACTGCTCCAGACAGGGAATTCCCGTGTCCCCTCCACAGACCAACAGCCATCTAGAACTGAAGCCAACCCCAGCGTCATGCGGACATACCTCCCCTGGTTTAACAGACAGAGTGGGGGGCCTCCCAACCCACTGGCTACAGCCCAACATGGGCCCAGGAATAGTGACTCTGGGCCTGAAGCCCGATGAGCAGTGTTCCGGGGGCCATGCCCCGCTTCCCAAGGCCCACGGCGTTGGCCTTCCTGACCGCTGGGGCTCTCCCCACACAAGCACAGGCATCCCTGCCCACTGGGGAGGGACTCGGAGGCTCTTACTTGAGAACTTCACCCCCAGAGCCACCATGTCCTCCCTCAGGCCCTTTACTGGACCCACACAGCCATGAAGTCCCAAAGTGCCCCCCAAATCCATCCATAGGGTGCAGAGGCCCATCCTGGGTACCCTGGGGGGACCCACCAGACCTGCCTTCCAGGAAGTCCAGCAAAGCAGGGCTGGGTGCTGGCTCTGGCCACCTGGGGGCTGCCCAGGTTCATTTACTAATGGACTTCAGTTCACACCCACAGGTGGTCCTCAAACAAAATGGGCCAAATCTGCCGCGTCCTGTAGTTTCCCACACAGGAGATGTTCTCACAGCTGCTCCTTCACCCTGACCCCACAGTGGGCCACCTGCAAGGGCCAGGGGACCTGAGCCGCTGGGGGCCCCACCGAGTCATGGCCACCACTGTCCTAACCCCGAGGCTTGGGCCTGGGGGAGACAGGATCAGAGGTAAGCAGGGTCCAGGTGTTGGCCCACATCGGGGGAACAAGGAAGGACATGCTCCTCAAGGAAGCAGATAGCAAGTGCTGATCTGGAAACAGCAAGCCCAGCTCAGGGAAGTCGACCCCTCAGAACCCAGCTCACCTCTGAAGTCAGCTGTCCCCTGGCTACCCTGGGGGGCCTATGGGGATGCTGGGGACCCTGCCTATAGATGCTTCCATCAAGGGGAAGGGGGGCCAGGTCCCTGAGGACAGGTGAGCCCTCCCCAAGGCCCCACACCTGTGACCTCACGGAGATGAAAGAGGGGGGCTGGCCATTGACACCCCAGCACGTCCAGACATCTGGGGCCTGGGAGCCACTGGGCAGCTGCCAGCCGAGCTCCTACTGGACAGCTCACTCTCCTGGGCCTCAATGGAGTGACCAGGCCCAGCCTGACTGTTCTTTTATAAGAGGCCTTTATGAACCAAAAGGCCAGAAAACCAGGAAGGTACCTTCTCCGGCAAAGGCCACCCACCTGCCCGGCACCCACCACTCAGGCATCAGTCACGGACGCCGGGGGCCTGCTCTGCCTCAACCCCAAAGGGAGCGGGAACAGCTTCCTGGCCCAGCCAGCTGCCTCCACAATGGGCCTCCTGTTCCCACTGACCCTTTGTCCCCTTTCTGCCAGGACCCCAATGTCTGGGACCGGATGTTTTCCTGCCAACCCTCGGACGGGTGGGCAGGGACGAGCAGGGCGGGGCATGGGTATGGAACCCAGCCACCTGGCCTCCAGATGCAGAAAGGAACCCCTCTGTCCCCTCTTGAGCTGACCATGACCCTGTCTGGGCAGACGAAGGCCTGTGGGGCCTGTGCCCCAGGCAGAGACACACCCCTCTTGGAAGGGGCCCGGCCCCACTCACCCACCCTGCTGCTGGGCATCCAGAGGCCTGAGTGAGGCCCCCCACCTGAGAGCAGCGTGAGGAGCCAGCGCCCCGGGCGGCTAGCACTGGGAACACCTCGCGTGTCGGCCGGCTGTGTAGACCATGGGGCAATAGGCCGAGGAATGTGCTTACTCAGCTCCCAAGTGGGGCAGAGGCCTCATCCCCAAGGTCGGTCAAGTCCTAGTTATGGGTCTAAATGGCCTTCTCACATGACAAGTGGACCGGACGGCTACGTGGTCCTTCACCAAGAAGTTTTCTCCCCTGCACCTTGCGGGGAGGCCGGGGACCGACACTGAGAGGCTGTACTGGTGGGGCACCAAGGGTGTGAAATAATTTGTAGTCGAGGATGAGTTCTAACGCACCCCCAGACATGCACCTTCAACCAGGACAGTGGGCCCACCTGCCAGTGAGGCTCAGTGGGAGGGTGCAGGCCCGCTGCCCAGGGAAGGACCCAAGCCCAGGGTCCTAACCCACCCAGAGCCTAGACGGGGAGCAGCCAGCCTCTCCAGTCTCGGCCTTACTCCTGAGAAGACAGGAGACACCCCAGAGCCTCCCTCCAGCCCTGTCCTTCTGTAAAGGGCCATGCAGGGACTAAGTCCATGCTCAGAAAGCCTCCCTGGCAAGCAAGAGGGCCCTGCCCCAGGCTCTCGAGGGAGGGCCACAGCCCAGCCACCCAGTCGCATGCTTCAGGCCCATTTCACAGATGAGGCAAGCTGGCAGGGGGACCAAGGCCCCAACAGGAGCTTCCAGCCACTGGGCCAAAAGCCAGCCCGTTTGGCCACTAGGAGTGACCTGAAGGAGCAGAACCCCCCCAGACTCCGGAGGGGACAAAGACCCCTATGTTACACCCCCGCATCTCCCCACCCCAGTGCTGCCCCGGAGGTCGCCTCAGCCGGCCCTGAGAGACAGGAGGGCTCAGGCTCCAGGTGCACACAGGTGGGGGTGAGGGTAGCCAGCCCCCACCATCTGTCCCTCCTGAAACAAGGGGAAAGGCCTGGCCCGAAGCACCTCAGAGGGACCCTCCCGGAGAAACACTCCATCGACACATACAGCCCAAGAGAAGGGGGGGGTCCCCCTGATTTACAGGCAACGTGCCCAGAGCCCACACCAGCAACCCTGCCTGTCTCCTGTGTCTTGGGGAGAGGCTTTGGGGTCAGTGCAGGCTGAGGGGACCCGACCTCGTCTGCCACCACCACAGCCCCCACCAAGGTGTCTGCAAGAAGATTTCTTCCTTCCCGCTGTATCCTCCAGAGGCTGTGTGTGGTGCAGGGAAACCCAGACAGACACCCCCCCGAACGGGAGAGAGGACCCACGGCCCAGCCCTTGCCCACCCACGGCGGCCCTCCCCCCCCGGGGCCGGGATGCCCGGGCTCCCTCGGGGCCGAGGGCTCACCTTGACGCTGCGGTGGTGCACGCGGGACGGCTGGCACCGGACGCTGCTGGTGTTGCAGCAGCCAGTGCAGCGTCTCACCTCCACGCACGGTGGCCAGATCAGGAAGTTGGCAGATGTGGGGTCCACCTGGCTCCGAGGTATCTCGTAAATGACCGTCCTGGTCTTGCAGACGGCAGGGACAGCTTCCTCTGCAGGGGAAGAGCCCTGGTGAGTGTGGAGGCCACTCCAGTCCCTGCTGACCGCGCCCCCACGGACCCTCACCCCCGCGGGCTGCAGCAGCTCTGGGAGTGTGCCTGCTGCTCCCTCCAATGTATGTCACTCGGCCCCAGGGCCCCCTAACCCCCCACAACAGGCTGCTGCTGAGCTCGAGGGCCAGTGGGGAGACCCCAGGGGAAGGACACAGCCAGCAAAGGGGACTGAGTGACACTAGGGCCAAGACTGGCGGGAAGTCCCATGGGTCCACGGAGGGTAGGGAGTGTGCAGCCGGGGACAGAATGGAAACAGGCTGACAGGCAGGTGGGGCTGGTGGAGGTACGGACAAACGGAAACCGAGGCCGGGAACCCTAGACAGCTGGGTGGGCAAATAGGACACAGCTGAGCACACTGCCATGTCCCCAGAACCAGGTCCCACTCTAGGCAGGGGCAAACCCACCCAGGAGCCGGCCCCTGCCTTCAGGGATCACACCCAGGCTGCTCTGCACCATCCCATCTGGCCCGCTGTCACGACCGGAGCAGCCACGGGGGGCCGGGGGAGGCGTGTCACAGCAAGGGACAGGAACAAGCCCCGCCCAGACTCCCAGCCCCCTAGGCCTGACACCTGCTCCTGAAAGGTGACCTGGAAGCCACCCACCATGAGGCCACCCGCCGGTGACAAGGGCTCCTTCAAGGAGGAACTGGCTCTTTTCTGCTGTGCTCCTCAGCACAGGTCAACCAGTCCAGCCCAGAGCCCTCAACTCCTTACAGACACCAGGGTGGGGCTGACAGATGAGAAGCCCAGCCCTGGACCCCGGCTCACAGGCCGCCGGGCATTGTGTAATGGCCGCCCGGTGACTGGCCACCAGGAAGCCCCGCGACCACCTACCAAAGCTGCTGCCCCAGCAACACTCAGGGCCCCGGGACCCGAGCCAGAGCTGGAAGGAGCCTGCCCTGGGTGTGGAGGGCCCACCACGCACCCCCCAACTGCTCGCAGCCAGCATGGAGCGGGGCGCTCCCTCTGCAGATGAGAGGAGCCCAGACGCAGCTGAAAGACCACATGCTCTGCCTTCACCGTGCCGGGGGGGTGTCAGCTGTCACATGCCCTCCTCATACGGGGCGAGGAGACCTCCCAAGAGCCCCGGGAGACTCGGGACGCTGCGCCTCGGAGAACAGGCCACCCAACCCGGAAGTCTGGAAGCTGGAGGTCTGGCTGTCCCAGCACCTGCCAGGGAACCTGACCAGATGGGCCAGGGGTGGAGCGAGGGACAGGCCTTTTGTCCAGTCCCTTATTTTGCTCAAGGAGGCTCCCTCCCCCACTGACGCAGACAGGCCTTCCTAGAGGACTCCCCAGCCCGAGGGAGCTTGTAATTGGTCTGAAGGATGTGATCTGTCTGGTCACAACAGTAAATGTCACCTGGGAAGGGCCTGATTAGCTTAACTAGGAATCATTCACCCACAGACCACGCTCAAAGGTAGAAGCTACAAACCCATCTTCTCAGAGGAAACTAAAGCTCAGGCAGGAGTCACCTGCCTAAGGTCACAGTCAGGGTCACAGGCAGCAGCCCAAGTAAGCAGGGGGACCCCAATGGCATGGGGCTGGATGGGCCATGGCCCCAACTGCCCCTGGGGGGCAAAGAGGTACAGAGCCCCTCAGAGCCCCACCAGCCAGCAGACCTGAGCTGCTCTGTGCGAGGGACAAGAACCGACATCCCTAAACCCATGATGAGGTGGAGCCCGAGGAGCCAAGCCCAACGGGGTGGGGGCACAGAAAGGGGGCCTCTGTGAGCAGCCTGCCGGGCTCGGCACGGCTGCACCCAGGTCTGCGGCTCACAGCCAGGAGCACCCAGGGCTCCACACGAGAAGCTGGAAATGAAACACGCCGTCTCCCAGCGAGGCCTCCTGGAGAGCAGGCCCCAACAAGACCGGCACTTAAGGAATTTATGACGGCTCCCTCTCCAGGGACTCTCGGCAGGGCCAGGCTGGGGCAGGGAGACAACCCCCCTGCAGGAGGGAGGAGCCCCTGAGCAGGCTGGGCCTTTGTCTTAAGGAGGAAGGAGGGAAGGCTCCCCGGAGGCCCCTCTCCAGGCCCCCAGCTCACCAATGCTCCTCTTCCTCCGAATGGGCACGGGCCGCTTCTCAGGTGCGTGCTTGGTGGCGCGGCCCCCGTGGACTCTCAGGCTGCTCTCCAGGGCATCCTCAGCCCCTAAAGGTACAGAGAAGAAACAGTGACCAGCTGGCCCCCCAGGTGCGTCCACAGCACTTCCTGCAGCTCAGCCCCACCCTCACTCCCCAAGATGGAGGGGTCCCCTGGGAGACCCTCCATTCCCACACAGTGTCCAAATGTGCAGGGGATGAAAGATTCCCAGCTGCCAAAAACATCCCACCAATCTCCACAAAGCCGACACAAGGTCCCCAACGTGTGGCACCCTCGCCGCACCTCACAGCAAAGCTGTGGCCCTGCGGGGAAGGGCTGCAGGGTCTCCCCTGTGGTGCCTCCTCCCAGGATGCCCAGGCGAAGACTGAACCAGGTAGGGAAGCCCAAGGCTGGCCCTCCTGGTCTGTAGGACCCAGAACCAAGAGGCGAGCGGCTCCCAGCAGGCCCACCTCCCAGACGGCACCCTGGACGGGGCTGAATTGAGGACGAGCAACGCGGGTGCTGCTGGACTTGGTGTGCCCGTGTCTCCCACTCCGTCCCTCACTACACCAACCCTGACAGTGCCCTAACCCTCGAGGGCACCGGAAGCAAGGCCAGATGGCTGGCTGACAGCCAAACCCCACTGTTTCCGAAGCCAGTCCACTGAGGTGAGGCCCCCGAGAATCACAAGAGGCCTCCCACTTGGCGTGAGCAAGGACTGACTGCAGGACTGAGACAGGAGTCCTGGTGACCGATGCAGGCAGCCTGCAGGGAGGAAAGGCCTTCGCCACCAAGTACTACGATCGCAGAGCAAGCTGGGGGAGAGGCAGCCACAAAGCAGCAGGGCCAGAGCTAAGATCAGAACTGGACTCTAGTCCCCCGGGCTGACCAGAGCCCCTCCAAACTCACACCCCCTGCCTCTCCTCCCCCAGGGCCCTCAGGTCTCTCAGGAATGAGGGAAAAGGTGGGTGGAAGGAACAGTCCTGCCACCTGCCATTTGGCCAAACCCAGCCCACTGATCCTGCCCACCCCTGGAAAAAGTGGTCACCTGGCCTTACTGCCTTTGCCCCCAGACCTACCTGGGGAGGTCTTTTCTCTTCTCCCCCTCCATCCCAGCCTCCCCAATAGATAACCAGGGGCAAAGGGGCCCTGAGAGGACGGTTCCAGCAGCCAAGAGCTGCAGCAGCTGCCCAAAGATACCCTCCTCCTCCTCTGCCACCTCCTCGCCTCCCCAGGAGTGACCTGGCCCCCTCCCTGGTGCCTGGCCCATGGAGGCCCCAGTGACTGCTCGCTCATTCTAAACGAAAACCGAGCACCATGCCTAACGTGCAAACGGCAAAAAACGCGCTCTTTTGAAGTCTGAGCAGATCCCAACTTTCACTTAAAATGACTCAACGTTCCACTGCCACTATTTTTTTGAGACCCAAAATAAGATCAGAACAGAACTACTCATGCTATAAGAATTTCCCATCAATCCACTGCTACAAGAAGCACTCTTTCACGAAAAAGTGACATTTATGAGTCATGTCCTGGTGGTGGCCATCTTGCTATCGCCAAATCAGAGAGCAGCTGGCCCGTTCTCTGTTCTAGGAGAGAATTCAGCAACATCGGCTCCCACCTTCCGATGCCTCACTACAGCCCAGCACCAATCGCTCTCCCCAATGCCTAGGGTCTCCTGTGCATGCGGTGGACACCCCAACCTCTCTGAGCCTGAGGCCCATGAGATGGACTGATGAGCAGAGAGAAACACTGGCAGGACCCCGTGTCCACGCTCAGCCCACACTCCCGCCCGGGCCTCCTCCTGCCTAATAAATGGAGATGACAATGGGCCTCCCAGTTCACCCACGGGCTGAAATCTGAAATCTGAACCGGCTTTGGAGACAAGAGACTGGGTTGAAACAGCTTCTGGTCAAGCAGGCCCACCCTCTGCCCCCGATCAAGATGGGTGGTCAGCAAACCAGCCAGACCGAGGGATCCGGGGAAGCAGCCGGCGACCCATGAATCATACCCTGCGACTGCTCTGAGGACAGCTGACCCAGTGGTTTCCCTTTTGTCTTTTGTGCACAGAAAAGGAGTCCTCCAGCCACCAGTCCTGGTGGAGTGTTAATGGCCCGAGATGGGATATTCATGTATTGCTTCCTCGATGACCTGCGGGCACTGGGCCAGACAGCTTGGAGCACAAAGCTCCCTCGGCCACCGTGCTGCAGGGTTTAACCTCAACACACTGGACAAACAAACTCCACACACGTGGAAGACCAACTCCCCTGCACTCCCGCACACACTCTCTCCAAATGCGGGAATCCTATGCCTCAGGGCCTCCAACCACACCTGGGAGGAGTAGCAGCTTAGTTTTCTCACCAGAGAAATGGGAATGCAGCGGGCCCACTGGGAGGGGCCCAAAATCCCACAAGCCAACCACAGAGCTCCGTCCACAGGAGGGAGGAGCCACTCTGTTTAAAAAGCCTCTTTTCCACTTTTTGGGCTTTAGCTTCAGGCTCAGGTCAATCTGGGAGCCCCCCTCCCCCCTAGAGATATAAAGGCAGCTGATTGTGGGTGGGTTTCGCCGCACCCCAGCCTCTTCCTCACTGACCCCAGATGGACCCACAACGGACCAAGTGGGAGTCCTGGGCCTGGAGAGCAACTTGATCTTCCACAGCTGCTCACAAACTTCCCAGCAGCCCACTGTGGCTCACTCTCCACTTCTGGCGGGAACAGGGATTTGGGGAAGACCCCTCCCCCCCACTCCCGACAAGTTCTAGAAGCAACAGGTGCAACCCCTGTGCTCAGGCCAAAGACTGTGGTCTCCTCTGGTTTTCAGCTTCCCCATCTGAGAAAGGGGAGGCCACCGAGACAACGTCACAAAGGACGCCCTAGGGAAGATCCTAGAGGCCCTCCTCTGTTCTCACCCAAAATCTCCCAGGCACAAAAAGTCTGACAGGTAGACAGGGGCAGGTGAACCAAGCTCCCACTCCCGGGGGTGGGAGGTAGGTGAGCTCCTGGGGCTTGTTATGAGGAGGCAATTTGAAACCAGCTGAGAAATTGCTGGTGAATCCCAGCTTTTTTTGGTTTAGACCCCCCCCCTTCACCCCCAAAGAGGCTCTGGGCCAGAAGCCCCCAAGTCAGGAATGCTATCCGCATAGCTCCTGAAGCAATGCTAAAAGCATTCGTGGTGGGGGTGGGGGGAGGCGGGGCTGCAGAAGCCTGAATAAGAATGGTCCCCGCAGAAAGTCAATGGCCCATTTCCCGGCGTCTTCCCAAAGCCCTCCTGCAAGCAGGCCCAGCTCTCCACGGGCCTCACTTGAAGCCAGAAAAAAAAGCCATGGAACCTTCTCTGGGAGGCAGTCTCCCCACTCTCCCAAATCCACAGGGACCTGCAGAATGCAGGCCAGTGCTTTCCTGGCTCACCAAAAACAAACCCTTCTCCCCAGGGCTACACATCAAGGGGCAGATAAAAATCCCCCCCGCCCCAGGCTCCAAGTGAAACTCTACCCCCTTCCCGATAAGGATCAGCCAAAGGATTTCCTGGGTCAAGAAACTACAGAAACCGCCGGCCTCGCTGGAAGATGGTCTTGGCACGAAATGAAAACAGTTCAGGCCTCTCCACCACCATAATTAGGTACAAATTTCCAAATGGCCGGACCTTGTGATTTCCCTCAATTCCCCCACCCCCACCTCTTCTCCAGGGCAGTTTTCAGCAAGAAATCTTTTCACCGATCCTCCCGCCCACCCCGCCGCCTTCCCTGGACAAGTTCATGTTGGGCCCTGTTTTAACTCAGTTAATAGTGAGTTTTCCGATTTGAGCGTTTCCCCAGTTAACGCTGACACTGGAATTTCCACGCTACCCACACCTGGGCCAGAATCCTTGCCCTCCTCCCAGAGGGGGCTCTCTCTGGTCCGCACCCCAGCAAAGCCACCCAGCACCCCCTGGCTCCCCTTCCCCAGCCACCCTGATCCCCACCACCTTTGCCCAGCCAGGTCCAGCCGAACTGCAGCGGACACTCGCTTCACAAATAAACTTGTCTACAGTGGCTGGGCTCCAGGGCCTGAGGCTGAGCCCCCCAAATAGTCCCCAAGCAGCAGATGTGTCCAAGGCGCGCCTTTTTTATTGGCTTGGGAAAGAGAGACGAATCGGCCTCCAGCAACCAGGAAACCCCCGCCCCGCGCAG